TCCTAGTCTTGAAAGCCTTAGAAGTAATGTCAGGCCCTCGCCAAAGGCATCCCTGTGTCTCCAAAGCACATGTATCGCCAGGGCTGTTCCTCAGCCTCTCCCAGAGCTATAGCTGCTCACTCTTGTGTTTCCCCCCTAGGTGCTCTGGCCTCCAAGAGCAAGAAGCCATGTGTTCAGTACCTGCCCCCAGAGAAGCCCTGTGACAGCCCTGCCTCCTCCCACGGCAGCATGCTGGACTCTCCGGCCACCCCTTCCGCAGCTTTGGCCTCACCAGCCGCCCCTGCTGCCACCCATTCGGAGCAAGCCCAGCCCCTCTCCCTCACCACCAAGCCAGAAACCCGGGCCCATCTGGCTCTCCATTCCGCTGCCTTCCTGTCTGCTAAGGCTGCAGCCTCCTCCTCTGGGCAGATGGGCAGCCAGCCTCCCCTCCTGTCCCGGCCCCTCCCCCTTGGGTCCATGCCCACAGCTCTGCTGGCCTCTCCCCCATCCTTCCCCACCACGCTCCATGCCCACCAGGCCCTCCCAGTGCTACAGGCCCAGCCTCTTTCCCTGGTCACCAAGTCTGCCCACTAAGCTGCCCCCTAGCCCCTGCAGGCTGTCACGTGACTCATCGAGTAGTAATAATTCAGAAGAAAAAGAAAAAGGAGACTTTATTGGTCAATATTTGACCACTCTGGACTGTTCTGTAAAGTGGCTGGTAACAACAGAACTTTACAGTTTGTAGATGTAACCAGTAGCTGATCTTAAGGCTTTTTTTAAAAAACAAAACAAAACAACAAAAAAAATCTTTATAAGAAAGAGAACTGAAAAGTAGCATGCTGTTCATACCGTAGGTGCTGTGGCAGATGGACCTGGGCAGAGGACGCCTCTCTCTACCTCTCTCCAATTTTCTGCCTCCTCTCTCTTCTCGCCTCTGCCACCTGCCCCAGCTTCCCAGCTTCCCCAACTCCATCTGCATCTCTGCCATTGCGATATTTCCTGTGACCCAACCCAAATTTTCATCATCTGCCCAATACCATGGGTTCTTCTTCGTCCTCTGTCCTCTGCCCAGTGTGAGGCTGTCACCATGTGAGAAGACATCTTGGCCTGATTTGCTGCCACCAGCGTCCCCTCCCTCAGTGGGCCCAAACCCGCTAGCCCCAGCTTTCAGTGGAGAAAGTGGTCCTCTGAAATGGTTTCCCCCCACCCCCACATTTAAAGGGACTCAAGGTGCCTGCCACTTCCTCAGCGAAGAAGTCTGTGTTCTCCCCCTCCTTGCCAGTGGCGATCATCCCCTCACGGTCCCACAGTGGCAGGCAGGACTGGTCCCATGGTCTGGCTCCTGTCACCTGGGTCCATGCCAGCACAATCTGCCAAAGTTCTAGAGACCCTGTTCCCTTCCCTGTCACCTCACATGCTTCTTCTGTGTGTATTTCTTTTTGTTTTTATGGTTTTTGGAGCAATTTAAACTCCCAGTTGTTTATTTTCACAAAAGAAAATAAAATTGCAGTTGCAAGACCTTTTCTGATTATTCCTTTAGTCCTTTTGTTGAATCAAACCACTGTTTCACTCCCAAACCCTGAGTTAGACTTTTGCAGATAACACAAAGGAGGACTGCTTCTTGCCAAGGGGGATATAAGGCATGCCTGACACCCTTAGAAAACCTGAGTCCAGCTTCCCGTCTCAAATGTACATAGGCCAGTCAGTGTCCATGATGGAGTTGTGAAGCGGGAAATCATTTTTACAGTTGATTTAAATGAATTTGCCACCTGGAAGACATTCAGCTTATGCTTCTATCACCCACTTGACTTGCAATTGCCAAGATATGAGGAAGCATCTTTTGGATACTTTCCATAGTATCTAGCACCACGATTTTTTTGTAACAGCTTTGTGGAGATATACTTCAGCCATTTAAAGTTATACTTGGCCAGGCACGGTGGTTCATGCCTGTAATCCCAGCACTTTGGGAGGCCGAGGCAGGTGGATCACGAGGTCAAGAGATCAAGACCATCCTGGTCAACATGGTGAAACCCCACCTCTACTAAAAATAGAAAAAAATTAGCTGGGCACGGTGGCACATGCCTGTAATCCCAGCTACTCGAGGCTGAGGCAGGAGAATTGCCTGAACCCAGGAGGCAGAGGTTGCAGTGAGCCGAGATCGCGCCATTGCACTCCAGCCTGGGTAACGAGTGAAACTCCATCTCAAAAATAAATAAATAAAGTTATACTTCACCCATTTAAAGTATACAGTTCACCTGGGCACAGCAGCTCTTGCCTGTAATCCCAATGCTTTGAGAGGCTGAGGCAGGAAGACGGCTTGAAGCCAGGAGTTCAGGACCAGCCTGGGCAACATAGCAAGACCCCATCTCCAGAAAAATCTAAAAAAAAAAAAAATTAGGCATGGTGGCACATGAGCCTGTAGTCCTAGCTACTCAGGAGGCTGAGGCAGGAGGATCGCTTGAGCCCAGGAGTTCAAGGGTGGAGTGAGCTATGATTGTGCCACTGCACTTCATCCTGGTCAACAGCGTAAGACTCTGCCCCAAATTAAAAAAGTATACAGTTCAGGGTGGGCACGGTGGCTCACGCCTGTAATCCTAACACTTTGGGAGGCCAAGGCGGGTAGATCACCTTAGGTTAGGAGTTTGAGACCAGCCTGGCCAACATGGTGAAATGCTGTCTCTACTAAAAATATCAAAATTAGCCATGTGTGGTAGTATGTGCCTGTAGTCCCAGCTACTCGGGAGGCTGAGGCAGGAGAATTGCTTGAACCCAGGAGGCAGAGGTTGCAGTGAGCCGAGATCACGCCACTGCATTCCAGCCTGGGCAACAGAGCAAAACTTCATCTCAAAAAAAAAAATTGGACAATTCATTGACTGTATGTTCAGAGTTGTGCACCTATCACCACAGTCAATTTTAGAACGTTTTCGTCAGCCCCAAAGGAAATCCCATATCCTTTGAAAATCATTCCACACTTTGCCCATCTCCCCTAGCCCTAGGCAACCACTAATCTGCTGTCTCTGAACTTGTCTATTCTAGACATTCAAGACATTTCATATACAGTCAAGCATCACTTAGAGACAATGTTCTCAGAAACGCATCGTTGGGTAATTTCATTGTGTGAACTTCATAGAGTGTAGCTACACAGACCTAGATGGTATACCCACCTAGGCTGTATGATATAGCCTATTGCTCCTAGGCTACAAGCCTGCACAGCATGCTACTGTACTACATACTGCAGGCGATTGTGACACAGTGGTGTTTTCATATCTAAACACAGAAAAGGTGGCTGGGCGCAGTGGCTCACGCCTGTAATCCCAGCACTTTGGGAGGCCAAGGAAGGCAGATCACCTCAGGTGGGGAGTTCGAGACCAGCCTGGTCAACATGGTCAAACCCTGTCTCTTTCAAAAATACAAAAATTAGCCAGGCATGGTGGCGTGCGCCTGTAATCCCAGCTACTCAGGAGGCTGAGGCATGAGAATCGCTTGAACACAGGAGGCAGACGTTGCAGCGAGCAGAGAGCACGCCACTGCACTCCAGGCTGGGCGCCAGAGTAAGACTCTGTCTCAAAAAAAAAATAGAAAAGGTGTAGTAAAATCTGGTGTAAAAGGTAAAAGATGGCACAGCAGTGTAGGGCCTTTCCCAGGCATGCAGCGTGCAGGACTGGGAGCGGGTCTGAGTGCATCAGTGAGTGGGGAGAGACCGTGACACTGTACACGTAGGCAACACTAATTTTATAAAGAAATATTTTTCTGGCCAGGCACAACGGCTCACGCCTGTAATCCCAGCACTTGGGAGGCCAAGGCGGAAGATCACAAGTTTAGGAGTTCAAGACCAGCCTGGCCAATATAGTGAAACCCGTCTCTACAAAATGAAAAAAAAAAAAAAAGAAAAGAAATCTTTTTCTTTCCAGCCGGGCGCAGTGGCTTACGTCTGTAACCTCACCACTTTGGGAGGCCAAGGCAGGCAGATCACAGGGTCAGGAGATCAAGACCATCCTGGCCAACATGGTGAAATCCTGTCTCTATTTAAAAAAAATACATATATATTTTACTTTCCTCAAGAATAAATTAACCTGGGTTTAATTTAACTTTTCTCTTTATAAACTTAAACACTTTTGACTCTTGTAATAACACCTAGCTTAAAACACAAATACATTGTACAGCTGCACAAAATTTTTTTTTTTTTTTTTGAGACAGAGTTTCGCTCTTGTTACCCAGGCTGGAGTTCAATGGCGCGATCTCAGCTCACCGCAACCTCCGCCCCCTGGGTTCAGGCAATTCTCCTGCCTCAGCCTCCCAAGTAGCTGGGATTACAGGCATGCGCCACCATGCCCGCTAATTTTTTTTTTTTTTTTTTTTGTATTTTTAGTAGAGACGGGGTTTCACCATGTTGACCAGGATGGTCTTGATCTCTTGACCTCGTGACCTCATGATCCACCCGCCTCGGCCTCCCAAAGTGCTGGGATTACAGGCGTGAGCCACCGCGCCCGGCAAAAATATTTTCTTTATATCCTTATTCTGGGAGCAGGGAGTGGCCATCTCTGGCCTCCATCCACACAGGCATCAACCACTCCCCTTAGCAGCTGTGAAGCAGCAGCTGGGGCTGGTGCAGCCCGGCTTGAGCATGATCTCTGTCTTTATCTGCCTGTGAGGGACCAAGGAGGACTTGGGTCTGCCGTCCACCAACTACTATGTTTACTATGACACAGACATGGACCAGGCGTAAGGCGCGTGCACGTGTGTGTGTGTGTGTGTTTGTGCGTGTGTGTGCCTGTGTGTGGCCGGTGCCTCCCCACATGACTCAGAGACTGAGCAGAGGATATGAAATGGGAGGAAGGGGGATATTTCCAGTTGGCACCTGCAAGTTTGTCATCCCAAGGCTGTGGCTCAGCTTCACCCATTCGGGGAGTCCCTAGGGATAAGCAGTCCTTGTGGTGGTGCTGCTGGTCCCGGTGGAGCGTGGAGTTGGGGTGAGGGGGTGGAAGGAGGCGCTGGGCAGCAGTAATACTGGCCCTGATCCCCAGACCGCTCCACCATGATCGTGCTCATACCCAGCGCCTATGAGTGGTTTGAGGAGTGGCAAGCGGAGCTGAAGGGAAAGCGGGGCAGTGACTATGAGACCTTCAAAAGCTCATTTGTGGAAGCCTCTATGTCAACAGTCATGAAACTGTTCCCACAGCTGGAGGGGAAGGTACGGGGTAAAGTATTTGGGGTGATGACGGACCTCATGGTGCCATTTCTGCCCTTTCCTTGAGACAAGGGAATCAGGACATCTGAGCCCCAAGACATCTGAGCCCCAGGGAAGGATAGGGCACCCACTTCCGCAGTCAGCATATGGGAGAAAGCAGAAGAGGGAGGGAAGCCAGGATCTCACGTTCCCGCCCACTCTTTGGCTGCCCTCTGTACCCTCAGGTGGACAATGTGACTGCAGGATCTCCACTCACCAACCGGTTCTATCTGGCTGCTCCCCGAGGTGCCTGCTACGGGGCTGACCATGACCTGGGCCGCCTGCACCCTCGTGTGATGGCCTCCTTGAGGGCCCAGAGCCCCATCCCCAACCTCTACCTGACAGGTACTCACTGCCCCATGTTGTCAGGACCTGAGCCCCTGAGCCTCTGTTGCCCAATGTCCTCTGTTCCTGTCCTCAGGCCCTGCTGTCCCCTGCAGCCTCCCATCCCCTGAGCAGGGCTGCCCGGGCAGGCTGTGGCCCTGGTCCTGATCGGAGCCAGCTCTGGGTGCCCCTCATGCGGAGGGAGGAGCACCAGGGCCCTGCCCTGGCCTGGGCCTGCCTGGGTGCACACTCAGGGCCTCTGCTCTTGCCTCCTAGGCCAGGATATCTTCATCTGTGGGCTGCTTGGGGCTCTGCAAGGTGCCCTGCTGTGCAGCAGCACCATCCTGAAGCGGAATTTGTACTCAGACCTTAAGGATCTTGGCTCTAGGATCCGGGAACAGAAGAAGAAGAATTAGTTCCATCAGGGAGGAGTCAGAGGAATTTGCCCAATGGCCCAAGGGGCATCTCCCTTGACTTACCCACAATGTCTGCATTAAATCCTTGCACACACAAAGCACTCTAATTTGGTTCTGATTCCTCAGGAGAGGCCTAGTTTAAATCATAGTTCTGAATCTGGGGCAATGAAACCACTGCTTCCAGGTGGGGCAGGTGACAGTCTGTATACATTTTGTAACATGCTGTCCCTACTAATAGGATATTGATCTGGATAGGGTGATGCCTCATGATGAGCAGCGCTCTGAATCCCTCACCCGTGCCTCCTAACTCAGTGATCGAAGAGAATATTCCATGGATCAGGTGGATTGAACCCCCAGCAGCGCTGTCAGCTCAAGCCGGTGGGTTCAGTTCTGTCCTGAGGCTTCTGCTCTCATTCACTTAGTGCTGTGCTGCAGAGTTCTACACTGTCAAGGAAAAGGGAGACTCATGAGGCTTAACTCAAAACCTGAGGATGGTTTTGGTTGCCGTTCCATAGGCTCAGAGAGCTCTAGACCCTTTTTGTGCTGGGTCCAGAGGCTCTTCAGAGGGCAGGAAATGCCTGTGTCTGGCCGGGTGTGGTTCTGGAGCTTTAGGGTAACAACAGGATCCATTAGTAGTGTGCATGTCAGAAGACCATATGCAATTCGTATGGAAGTTCTGGGTCTGTCTTCCTTATGATCCGGGTGGCATCTGGTTCTTGATGCGCCAGCGTCAAGACACCTTCAGAGAGCTCAGGACCTTAGCCTCAATCAAGCCTAATCCTCCAAATACACAGGGAAGGGTGACATCAGGAGTCAGAGCATTGGTAAGATGACTTCATTGTGTTGAGGTAGGCTACAGGGCATTCCAGACAACAGCACAGCAGGCGACAGCACGGGGAGGCAACAGAGTGTACCCAGCAATGGCCCAGCTACTGACTACAGCACAGGCTACCACGCTGGAAAGAGTCAGTTGGTATGAGAGTTGGTCAGGAGCAGAACACACAAAGCCAGAGAAAGTGTGCAAAGTCCAGAAATGGCATCGGCAATTTATTGGTACATGTGTGTGTTGGTGAATGAAGGGTCAAGAGGCATAAAAACGACCTTTCACTTATGTTAAACTGACATGCCAAAGGTCTTATTGTAGTTCGTCTTAAATGTAATATTAATAAATTTATTAAATCCATGGCTTTAACATTTGAAATTTATTTTGATGTCTGTTCAACAAAACAAAACTACATTGTGATGACATTTACAGAAGCTCAGAAAAACATTATGTACTGAAAAATACTTATCATTAGACCACATGAGCTTTAAAAAAATAAAGTTTAGAGTTAAGTTACAAAAAGCTGAAAATATAAAACACTGAAACAGTGGCCATCTATTAACTGAGAAAACAAGAAGAGAAACAATTTCAATCATCAATCATGTATCAAAGATGGAGTCTGGTGAATTAAAGTAATGTCTATCAGAAGGTGAGGGGCTAGCTTACTGTCAGTTTGACATACTATACACCTCAGGCCCAAACCCTTCACAGAGGAGACTAAATTCACATTGTGACTTGTGGAAATAGCTAAGTTATGTCACTGTTGGGTATGGATGTATCAAATTCAATCTCAAAATCTCTCCCCAGGACTCTTGCTCAAGCAAGTCATGACAAACGCAACCTCACTAACAGGCGTTTTCAGAAAATGGCCTGCAGAAGCACAGGGCCTGGTGCCTCACACAGCCTCCTCCACGCTGCAATGCGGTAGTTCTTGTCCCGCCCACAGCATCTGGCATCAGGTTACCCCGTACAGTCAAGGACCATAGAAGTCGCCAGCAGGGAAATTCCAGAGAGGTTTAGGAGTCTATCAGCACATGTGTCACTGGAAGCCATCATGGGGAAAATATATCAGAGCTTATGTAACTAGCTGTCAGGTCTTTCCCTATTGCCTTTTAGCCTTTCTACGTAGAGACTGGCCTTCAACTTGCCCTGAGCCCAGAAGTGAACTCTTTCAGCAATTCTACTCAGACATCTGCAGCAGGAAAACAAGTTCCTCTACTAACATCTATGACCGAAGCACAGATTTCTCTAACAGAAATCATCCTTCAACCGAAAGCTAAGCGTAGGAAGGGAAGCCCTTAGCTGACTGTAGGAGGTAGCTCTTGTGGCTCCACGTGCTCCCTACACAACCCTAGCTTGAGCAATGCCTCAGCCAGTTCACCCTCATCCACACAATCTCTAGGAAACATGCTTCAAATATTCTATCTTTGAAAAGACCACCATGCAGAAAGTAAGTTTTCCTTTAATGTGTGGTATTTTCTTCAGTGCAATTTCTAAAGAGAAACTTAAATCCTGTTGTATTCTTTCAACACACAAAAAATAGTACTTCTCAGAGGCTCAAAAGCTCAACTCTGTGGACTGACAAAATGTATGCATCAACTGCCAACCCTCTTGGTTTCTGAAACCAACCTTTTTCTTCCTGCTTTCCTCTTTAAGAGCAAAACCCAACATGTATTAGGTCACAGCAAGTGGTAGCCAGGAAAAGCTGTGGGACCCCTCATTTGAGTCACAACTATATGGCATGGAAAAAGAAAACATCTCTGCCAGAAGGAACTGAACTCTGGAAGTTCTAAGGAACGTCACCATGCCCAGCAGATAGGAAAGCACTGCCAAGGGCTGTGCCTCAAGAGCTTAGTTTTCTTGGGGAGATCAGAAAGACATCAGATCCTGACTGCCCTGTTTTGCTGAAGTTCCAAAATGAGTGGCCTGATGAACAGCTAGTGGAACTGAGGGAAAGAGTCAACTACTTGGGGTGGGGTAGTGAGGAAGGTGTATGAGGAAATGAGCTGGACCCTGAAGAAACAGGCAGATTGGGGAAGGTAGGAGAAAGAAGAGAAGGGAGAGAAACCTCACCAAAGAACCATGGGAAGCCAGGAAGTGGAGGGCACAGCCAGAATAAAGGCATAGATGGGCACCCCACAGGAGGGGCTTTGGCCAGGTTGGGATGCAGAGAAAGGCAGGAGCATGTCAGTCTACAGCATCCTGAACCCCAAATGGTCTGTAACTGGATACTCTAAGCCTTGAGAATTAGAGACCAAAGCTTCAGACCAGGGCAAATATTTTGGAAAGATCAGTCTTTCCAAGATTGAGCTTCTTTCTAAGAAGCTGGATAGGAAACCCAACTAATGTGGATCTGAAAAAGCAAAATTCAAGAGAGAAGCAAAATGAGTTGGGGGTGTGCGACAAGAGAAGCAAGGAAAATGGAAAGATTATAGCTAAGGATCTTTTTTAAAGAAAAATGGGTAAGATTTTGGTAATGAGAGAGAAAAAAGTCTGCAGTTAGGAATTCAGGTGACTGAAGATAGTGGACAGTAGGGAGAGGCAGGTTGATGGGTAGAAGAGAAGAATTCCATTCAGTGACAACCAAGCTGAACTATTCGACACCAGCAGAACTGGGTTCTTTAGGAACTAAGCCAAGACAAAGACTTGGGAATCAATCACTCACTCTGAGGATAAAGGTGAATGGCTGAGCAGACAGTCAAAGGTGTAGAGGCCTGGCTTTGAGGGCCTCTTCCCCACCAGCACAAGTTAAGGCAAAGGACCATTTGTCAGAGACATCAAGAAGGGAATTTCTATCTGGATGGTCAATAGTGTCCAGTTCTATCAAGGACAGGATTAAGTTTTGAGAAAAAGCCAGGGATTTGGTGATCTGATAACTGGTAACCTTTAGAAAAGTATAGTTGACAGACAGAGTTGGTCATGAAGAGAAATGAATGGCAACTTCCGGGAAGCAACTTACTGGAGAAGTTGAGAAGCAGGATGAATAACAAATAGCACAGAAGGGAACAGAAAAATCTGGGTGTCCATGAAGGTGGAAGGAAAGGAGCTGGTATAGATGGGTAAAACCAGAAAACATGAGGGGAAAGGCAGGGAAAAGGGAGGCAGGCAGGGAGAGGGTGGTCTTAGGGGATGCTAGAGGAGACTTAAAGAAGATTCTTCAGGTTGGTGCAAAGTAATACTGACACATCAGTACAGAGAATGATCCCAGAAGGGTAGGTGTTCATTCCTTACCTCCGTAAAGTAGGCTACCTGTCAAGAATGAAAATGCCAACTCAAAGCTACGGCCTGTTTTACGCAAAGTGGAATAAGAAGCATGGTCCTCTCTTCAGACTGCCTTGACAGCACAGAATTAATCTTATTTCTCTGACCTCCCAAGTTATTTGTATTTCCCTGAGATCAGCTCTGAAACAACTCTCTTTAGGCTCTCCACAATGTGGCAGAGCATGGCTAGAAGAGATAAACCTTCAAACAATAGCGAGGTCCAAGACACTACCCTCACTTATCCCAGGGAAACCCACAGAATTTCTTAAATTGTATTAACTCCTGACATGGCATGGAAGGAGAATTTTTAACAATTACCCTTGGCATCTTAGAGGAAAGGACCATTAAATACACTGAGGTAAAATGGGCAGAGAGTATGGTTAGTTTCTATTAATAAAGTAAGTCTATTTTGTCTGTTTTAGGCAACAAAGGCAAAATGGAGTTTTGGGAAATGTGGAAAATGTATCTCATAAAAGCCCTTTGGAAAAACCGCAGACCAAAACCAAAACCCTCCTTCATATTTTCTCACATGAAACATGAACTTGCCCTATTTCAAAAAGTTCCCACTGAGTATGATTGTGTGAAAGATCACACTATTTCAAATCATATTTATTTTAAAAATCTGTGATGGGACAGTGGTCTCACTGCCAGGAAGCCCAAGTTCTGTTTTATGCTCGGTACAACCAAGCAGAAGTTGAGAAGTCGATTCAATCTGTCTCAAGCTACATAAAATAATCAGAAAGCCAAGAAGAACTCATGCTAGACAGGTTAGACTTGCACACACAAAAAACCACTTTTTTTTAACCTGCTGTTTCCATTCACTGCTGAATGGAAAGAGAATTTGAAGAGAATTAGGTGTTCAAAGTAGCCATTTGCCTATTGGCATTTCCCCGTCTTCTGTGTCTTTTGTAGGCACATCCCCGCAAAGTAACAGGCTTTGGTAGAAAAGCAGGTCTACCTGCAGTTTTCCTCTAGGTCTGCAGACACAGTGGAAAGTATAACGCCACAGTCAAGGGCCAGCTTTCCTACAGAGCCCAGGCCCCAGGGAGGGCGGCCAGCAGCTCAACCTGCCTAGGCTGGGATCTCCCTTTGGTCATAGCTGTTTCCACATGCCCCTCCACTCACACTCAGAGGAGGAACGGATGGAAGCCACCAGCACAAATAAAGGGAACACAGGAGAACAATGTCACCAAAGTGCAGGTGCAAACCCCAAAGCAACCCCCTACCTCTGTCAGCCCAGACTTCCCACCAAACCCGAGAGGAGGGTGTCTCTTAGGTCACAGTACTTTTTTCTTCATTTCTTTTGATTTACAAACAAATCAGCAGGGAGGACAAAGTTCTCAAGGACAAAAAATCAAAGCTGAAACGAGAGCAGCACAATCCATTGGTGACGTTCATCTTTTTCCAGAGGAATATACCATACTGTTAAGACTTTGGGGGGGAAAAAAAGATCTTTTAGGAGCATTCAGAATTAAGATACACTGACCCACCACCACAGAAACAGCAATTAATTAAAATAATGGCACACAAAATTATTTTTAAAGTAAGTTTGAGATCAAACATACGCTTTCTAGAAAGATATACACTTGATGGAGAGACAGGAATCCTGGCTTCTGCAGCTTCGTACTCTTCTATAGTGTTGTGAATTACTTACACATGTTTTTTTGTTGGTGTTTTTTTTTTTTTTTTTTTTTTGAGACAGAGTGGTGCTGTGTCACCCAGACTGGAGTGCAGTGGTGTGATCTTGGCTCACTGAAACCTCAGCCCCCCAAGTTCAAGTGATTCTCCTACCTCGGCCTTCTGTGTAGTAGCTGGGATTAAAAATGTGCGTTACCACATCCAGCTAATTTTTCTATTTGTAATAGAGATGGGGTTTCACCATGTTGGCCAGGCTGGTCTCCAACTCCTGACCTCAGGTGATCCACCTGCCTCGGACTCCCAAAGTTTTCAGATTACAGGCATGAACCACTGTGCCCAGCCACATGTTTTTTTAAAAATCATAAAAGGGGGAAATCCTTAAAGCCAATTATCTGAAAAGCTAGTAGACCAGAGCTAAATTGTGAAGCTGGCCTACTGGACTAGATAGCAAAGATGTTCTGAGCTCAGTGGCTCATTCTGTAGCTAATAATGAATTGTACAAGAGAATTGTGTTCCCTGTAGGTAGTCTGGGAACAATTCATAGTTGGGCCACCAATGATTCTTTGCCAATGTCCTCCCTGTTATGTTGAAGGCAGAAGGAAGGGTGCATGCTGGTAGCAATGCAGTGAGAGTAGTCTTCCTGCTTAGACAGGCTGTCTTTGCCTTGTTCAGCTCTGCTGCCATGGGGTGGAAGGAGGGCTTATCTCCCTGGCAGAGTAATGGATTGGTGGTACTCAGGAACTCCAGCCCATAGTGCTTAACCCAGGCTGACGTGGGAGTTGGAGGCCTATGTGCTTCTGGGCTTGTCTGTTTCCAGGGACTGCAGTCTAGCGCTTTACTACAGAAAGTATGGATCCAATGGCATCTGGCTTCACCTGGGAAACTTAAGAATGTAGAAATAGGCTGGGCATGGTGGCTCATACCTGTAATCCAAGCACTTTGGGAGGCTGAGGCAGGCAGATCACCTGAGGTTGGGAGTTCGAGACCAGCCTGACCAAGTCTCTACTAAAAATATCAAATTAGCTGGGCATGGTGGCGGCACCTGTAATCCCAGCTACTTGGGAGGCTGAGGCAGGAGAACTGCTTAAACCTGGAAGGTGGAGGTTGCAGTGAGCCAAGATCAAAATTCCCAAGGTGTTTCAAATGCCTGTTAAAAGTTTATGGAGCTCTGGTAGAATGCTGAAAGCTCAGAACTGGGAGACTAGGGGGGTTGCTATCAGGTCCTGATTTTGCCATTAACTTGCAGTAAAAAAAAAAAAAAAAAAAAAAAAAAAAAGAGTGTTTCTGGGTGGGTTTATTTCTTCATCAGTCAAGGGAGGGAGCTGCTGTAGAGTATTTGAAGGTCTCTTCTAGCTCTAATGTCATAGATACGTGTATATAGATATTTCTAGTTTGTGGTCTAAAAAGGGCGAATGCAGAATGCAACAGCAACAGCACCCCCAGAATTGGCCATTGCTGCCATGGCAAATGCAAGCCCACTACTGGGTCCATCTGAGGTTGCCTATCCCTCCCATGGACCTGGTCCTCCTTCCTTACCTTCTGGTCCAAACGCTGGTAGTCACTGGCCTTTGGCCGCCGGGTGACTTTAGATCTTTTTCCTTCCAGGACAAAAGCAATGATCTAAGGACAGGAAAAAGAAAATGATTAACAGGTGGTTCTGTAATGACATAGTTCAGCCTCTGAAATCAGAGGCAGTCACCTGGTAGTATATTTGTTAATGACCTTGACTGCAGAAAGACCAGTACACTCACAGAGGTCTATTTAAACTGCAGCAATTTTAAGAAAGAAGCTAATCACATCAGAATCCTTTGTATTGCTTAATAGGAAATAACAAATAGAAAGCTGTCCAAGCTCTAGCATGTGGAGGGAGTCTGTATGATTTACTCAAAGGTACATAGTCAAAGATCTATCAACTCCTTCCCAGAGGGATCCAGGATAGGACATTCCTTTAAAAAAAATCATTATCAGAATTTCCTATCTACAAAGGTACTCTTTCACCCCACGCTGCTACACCAACAGCTATACTCTTTATCACTCTCATTTCACACCCAAGGTTACCCTGCATAATGAACACTTGGAGGTAGAAAAAGAAATGCATTTTTTTTTTTTTCTAGACAAGATCTCACTCAGGCTGGAGTGCAATGGCATAATCACGGCCCACTCAAGACTTGACCTCACACAGTCAAGCCATACTCCCAGCTGGGATGACACATGTGCACCACTACATCTGGCTAAATTTTTCACTATGTGTAGAGATGAGTTCTTGCTATGTTGGCCAGGCTGGTCTCAAACTCCTGGGCTCAAGCAATTCTCCCAACTCAGCCTCCCAAAGTGCTGGGATTACAAGCATGAGCAACTGCACCTGGCCAGGAATGTCCATTTTCACTAAAGGTCTTCCCCTCTATTCTTTATAGCCACAGGCCTCATGGCCAGCATTAATTGGACTCCCCAACTTTAAGCAGGTTACAGAAACTATCTTCTAAATTTTGGGGGCTCAATAAGAAATCCAGTAATTTTGTCATTAGAGTGGTTGCTAAGAAACAGACCAAACCCTGCTGAAAAAGTAAAAGGTGTACATGTCTGTGCAATTTCTGGCCTTTCTTCTAATTATTATTGATTGCAGAAAAGTCCCTGGACTCTTTGCTGCTGGTATCAAAGACCGAGTAATAGAAACCATTCTTTGTGTCACTGCTGATGGAAGACAGAACGTGGGGAAAGGAAGCTAGCAATGACGCACAGCCTCAGGAATGGAAACAGGATGGAAGGTATGTGCTCTCACTGTCCAGTACTCAGGTCCCCTGAGGCTGTGAAGGGCCTAAATTCAAAGTTACAGGAGGAGATGCCACATCCTAATAATGTCCTAACTTGGCTCCTAATGCAGTAGCAGAGGACACTCAGAGGACAGGTGACAGGTTGAAAACATAATTAACCAAACAAGAGTACAGAGGCCTAGCGGGGCCTGAGGAAAACTGAAGTTCGTCTTAAAATCCCCAACGCTCATGGGCAGAGAAGTGACGGGATAACCACCCACACCCAAGCTTCCAGAGTGCAGGAAATCCCACTCCCCTCCTGAAGGCCACTTTCGACTTACCTTTCGCTTGTTGTGATAAGCGATATAGAGGACAGCCACAAGAACGGCTGCAGTCACCAGATATGCAAAGAAGTGGCTGCTCTCTGCGCTGACACTTTCAGAGCTGTCCTTATAATGGTCATCCTTCTCCAAAAGTGTCCCATCACGGTTCTCGCTGGAGGCAGAACCGGACACCTTTTCTTTTTCTTCTTTGGGCGGTGAGCCCTCCTCAGGTCCTGTATCATCATCTTCAGCCTCTTTGGGCTCCACATCCTCAGTAGGCTCTGAAGACTTACTTTCTTCCTCCTGAGGGGGAGAAATGAAGTCAGTGTCCTCCCCAGATTTGGTTCTGAAAGCATGCGGAGAAAGCTTCCCTTTGTCAGCTAGCTGGTTTGTGTTAGCCTTGGGGAGCTCCTTGTCAGAGGGGTTGGAGATGGGCTTGGCGGGGTCTTTCCTGTAAGACTGCTCTGGAACCACCTTGCTAGAGCCGTCTTTTGGGGTCTGCTCCTCCACACCCGACTTGCCGTGTTCTGGGGTCTGGTCCTCCGCACCCGACTTGCTAGAGCCGTCTTTTGGGGCCTGTGAATCCACACGCGACTTGGCAGGGCCAAGTTCTGGGGTCTGCGCCTCCGCACCCGACTTGCTGGGACCGTGTTTTGGGGTCTGCACATCCGCATCCGACTGGCTGGTGCCGTGTTCAGGCGTCTGCCCGTCCGCACCCGACTGGCTGGTGCCGTGTTCAGGGGTCTGCCCGTCCGCACCCGACTGGCTGGGGCCGTGTTCTGGGGTCTGCCCGTCCGCACCCGACTGGCTGGGGCCGTGTTGTGGGGTCTGCACGTCCGCACCCGACTGGCTGGGGCCGTGTTGTGGGGTCTGCACATCCGCATCCGACTGGTTGGGGCCGTGTTGTGGGGTCTGCCCGTCCGCACCCGACTGGCTGGGGCCATGTTCAGGGGTCTGCCCGTCCGCACCCGACTGGCTGGGGCCGTGTTGTGAGGTCTGCCCGTCCGCACCCGACTGGCTGGGGCCGTGTTGTGGGGTCTGCCCGTCCGCACCCGACTGGCTGGGGCCGTGTTGTGGGGTCTGCCCGTCCGCACCCGACTGGCTGGGGCCGTGTTGTGGGGTCTGCCCGTCCGCACCCGACTGGCTGGGGCCGTGTTCTGCGGTCTGTATGTCCGCACCTGACCTGCTGGGGCTGTCTTTTCGGGTCTGCACCCCGGAACTCGACTTGCTGGAGCTGTCTTTTGGAGTCTGCGGCTCCGGATCCGACCTGGTAGAGCCTCCCGGCAGCTGGCTCGAGGTGGGGTGGTTGGAATCCCTTCCTGTAGAAGGAACTCCAGCTTCTTCTTTCTTGGCAGTTTCGGAGTCTGGGAGCGGAGCGGCTCCTGAAATACAAAACAAATTAGCAGGCCGGAACAAGGAACTCCTCAGAGCTGGAAGAGATCGGGGGCAGTGGGCGAATGGGGATTGTGGGGTGGGGCGGGAGCCGCTGGCGAGCGGAGAGGTGGGTCGGGCAGGGAAGAAGCGAGCCTAGATGGTGACCGCCCCATGTGAGAATGGAGGCTGGGGGCAAGAGTGGGATGCGGGGTGGAGGGTCTTACCCGCCGCTGAGATGCTCAGGAGGACCAACGCAACCACGAACCGCATCCTGCTCAGATAGCGCTTCCGTCCTCTAACGCTCCCGCGAGATCCGCGGATGGAGTCCCTCTCCAGCCCCGCCCCTGCTGCGCGCGCCTCTCCGTCTCCCGCTTCCGCCAGGTCAAGGGGCGGGGACTGGGGGCAGCTGCTGCGGCTGTTGTGTGTGTTCGCTTTTCGTTGCTGCGCTTACGGTCCCCGAGTGGAGAGCGAGCTTTATCTTCCTGGTTTCTCTTCACCACAGCCACAACAGACTGGCTCTCCGTTTTTCGTCCTCTCCGCCTCGTACTTCCTAGACCTTACAGGCAGAGCAGGAGCTCCTTCGCCTCGCCCACTGGCCGCGGGAGTGAGGTCGCTGGCGCCAGGCTCCTCTTGGCCACCACCAGCCAGTGCTTGCGTTTCTAAGCTCTGCCTTTTTCGTGGTTCCCTCCTCGCAGTACACAAACATGCTGTGCTCTGGTCGCTCCCATGTGGGAACAAATCCGTTTGATTACCTACAAAGCGTTGCCTTCGCATCCCAGCCGTCCTCCTTCCCGACTCCACGGAGACTGAGTCCTCTGAGGTCACCAGACATCTTTACCAAAACGTGTCCTTTATTCCGATCGTAAATGTAGAGAAGCAGAAAACAAAATCTGACTCCCACCCTTCTGGGATAATCACTATTAATGTTTTAGTGTATTGTCTGCCCTGTAAACATTTAATGTTTTGATTAGTTAATATAATGTTTCAGAAATCAAAACCAGATTTTAAAGTAAATAGACTTTAGAAAAGTCTTCCTCCCTACTCGTCCACAGGTTACCACTTACATTAGTTTATTATGTTTCCGTCTAGTTTTGTTAAAAGTACTTTCTCTTCTTAGTATGTTTCTCTTTTTTTCTATACATATTTATTTTCTCCGCATATTGGGATAATCAGGTAAATAGTTTTATATCCCACAGTTTACAGTTACTGTTATGTTTATACATTAAATGCTTGAAATCACCTTATGAACGTTAGCAAGGTTAGGTGCTTTGAAGACAATGATTTAAGAAATGATAGGTCTTAAAATGGGATTGCATCAAGTTAAAAAGCTTCTGCACAGCAAAGGAAACAAAGAACCCACCTATGCAATGGGAGAAACTATATATAAGAAACTAAAGGAAAAAAAAATCTGATTAAAAAATGGGCACTAGCCGGGGCAACATGATGAAACCCCGTGTCTACCGAAAATACAAAAACAAAACATTTAGCCAGGCATGGTGACCTGTGCATGTGATCCCAGCTACTCAGCAGGCTGAGGATGAGAGAATTGCTTGAACCTGGGAGGCAGAGGTTGCAGTGAGTGAGCCAAGATCTTACCAAGGCACTCCAGCCTATGCAACAGAGTGAGACCCCATCTCAAAAAAAGAAAAAGAAATGAGCCAAATACCTGCTGAATAGATATATCTCAAAAAATGACATACAAATGGCCAACAGGTATATTTTAAAATGCTCATTATCACTAATCATCAGGGAAATGCAAATCCAAACCACAATAAGAGATCATCTCAGCCCCAGTTAGAATGGCTGTTATCAAAAAAAAAAAAAAAACGAAATACTGACAAGGATGAGAAGAAGGGAATGCTCATATCCTGTTGGCGGGAATGTAGATTAGTATAGCCATTATGGAATACAGTATTAGCAGAGCATAGAGGCTCACACCTGTAGTCCCAGCACCTTGGGAGGCTGAGGCAGGCAGATGGCTTGAGCCCAGGAGTTCGAGATCAGCCTGGGCAACATAGCAAGACCCTGTCTCTATAAAAAAATAAAGGAAAACAGCACATAGAGTTTCTCAAAAAACTAAAAATAGAACTGCCATATGATCCAGTATTCCCACTGCTGGATATATATCCAAAAGAAAGGAAATAAGTATATCGAAGAGATATCTACTTCTGTAATCTCAGTACTTTGGGAGACAGAGACAGGAGGATCACCTGAGCCCAGAAGTTCCAGACCAGCCTGGGCAACATGGCAAGAGACCATCGCTTTTCTTTTCTTTTTTTTTGAGACAGGATCTCGCTCTACCACCTAGGCTTGAGTGCAGTGGCACAATCTCAGCTCACTGCAATCTCTGTTTCCTGGGCCCAAGTGGTCTCCCACCTCAGCCTTGCAAGTAGTTGAGACTGGTGGATCTCATGGAAATAGAGAGTACAATGGTCGTTACCAGAGGCTGAGAAGGGAAGGAGGAGAGGGACGATAAAGAGAAGTTGGTTAGTGGGTACAAAAATACAGATACACAAGAAGAGTAAGCTCTGGAGTCAATACTACAGTAGGAAAATTATAGTTAACAATAACATTATATATTTCAAAATAGAAGAATCGTAATGTTCCCAACACAAAGAATACATAAATGTTTGAGGTGATATATATTCCAGTTACCCTGATTTGGTCATTACATATTGTATACCTGTATAAAAATGCCACATGTACCCCATAAATATGTACAACTATGTTATATTGAATTTTTAAAGTAGGTATTAACTTCATGGAGCATGTAATCTAGTGGGTTACATAAATATTAAATATCTATACAAATATGTGTGCGTGCATGCACATTCCAAGAACTGCCAGAAAGAAAAGTGCAGAAACTATGAGATCAATTGAGGAAGGGACCCATAAGCTGGGGACCAAAGGTTGTAGCTATGTCCCAGGTGAAGATGAAGGGAAGAGGAAGACGGGCTTTCATGGCTGAGTGTATAGCATGTATTAGGTTGATGCAAAAGCAATTGCAGTTTTGCCATGTGACAAAAAGAGCATTTGCTTTTGCACCAACCTAATACAATGGCCTGCAGACAGGTAGGAACCTAGTATTTTGTGTAAGTCTAAAGACTGCAATTGCCAGATAATAGAGAACAAGGAGAAAGGCAGGAATGAGGCTGGAGCAGAGCCAGCTTAAGGAGCAAATGATCTGAGAATTGTCGAGAACATGAATCTACTAAGCACAAAAAGTACAACAGAAAATATGCCAGTTAACTTTGTGGGTTTTTGTTGTTGTTGTTGAGACAGTGTCTCCCTCTGTGGCCCAGGCTGGAGTTCAGTGGCATGATCTCAGCTCACTGTAGCCTCTACCTCCCGGGTTCAAATGATTCTCCTGCCTCAGCCTCCTGAGTAGCTGAGATTACAGGCACCCACCACCATGCCCAGATAATTTTTGTATTTTCAGTAGAGATGGGGTTTCACCATGTTGGCCAGGCTGGTCTCGAACTCCTTACCTCAAATGATCCACCCACCTTGGCCTCCCAAAGTACTGGGATTACAGGTGTGAGCCACCGCACCCCACCATGTGCCAGTTAACTTAGCTTGAAATGTAAACTAGTCCCACTCCTGCCAGAAAGAACTACAGCTGCCAAGGGAAGTAACTCCTCTGTAGTCTACTGAGTGCAATATTTGGCTTACATGATATGCAGTTCTAATCAATTAGAATTCTTCAGAATTACAAAGAATAGTATATAGCATATCGTTTTCAGGAACAAGTGCTTTATTTTTATTTTTTTGAGACAGTCTCACTCTGTCTCCCAGGCTGGATATTTTTTAATTTAAAAAATAATTAATATGCTTCTCAATATGTTTCTCTGTCCTAAGAAGATGTCTCTCACACATACACTCTATTGAAGAGAGAATAAGAATCACAGGAAGTGAGAAATACTTTACCAGATTATTTCAGAACGTTGACACCACTTTTGCTAAAGGAAATGAACTGGTAAATTAATTTTTTCTAAAAGACAGCTCTGGCCAGGTGCAGTGGCTCGCGCCTGTAATTCCAGCAGTTTGGCTGGGAGGCCAAGGCCAGCTGATTGTTTGAGCCAGGAGTTCAAGACCAGCCTGGGCAGCATGGTGAAACCTCGTCTCTACAAATAATTTTAAAAGTTAGCTGGGCATGGTGATGTGCACCTATAGTCCCAGGAGCACTGAGATGGGAGAATTGCTTGAGTGTCGAGGTGGAGGCTGCAGGGAGGTGTGATCAGGTCACTGCACTGCAGCCTAGGCAACAGAGTAAGACTCTGTCCCAAACAATGGAGAGAGAGAGAGAGAGAAGAGAGAAGAGAGAAGAGAGAAGAGAGAAGAGAGAAGAGAGAAGAGAGCAGAGAGGAGAGAGAGGAGAGAGAGGAGAGAGAGGAGAGAGAGGAGAGAGAAGAGAGAGAAGAGGAGAGGAGAGGGGAGGGAAGGGGAGAGAGAGAGGAGAGGAGAAAGAAAGAAAGAAAGAAAAAGAAAGAAAGGAAGGAAGGAGAAAAGAGAAGAGAAAAAGAAAATCCTCGTGGCCAGGTGTGGTGGCTCAAACCTGTAATTCCAGAACTTTGGAAGGCCAAGGCAGGCGGATAATTTGAGGTCAGGTTCGAGACCAGCATGACCAACATGGTGAAACACCATCTCTACTAAAAATACAAAAAAAATTAGCGGGGCATGGTGGTGGATGCCTGTAATCTCAGTTACTTGGGAGTCTGAGGCAGGAGAATCACTTGAACTTGGGAGGCAGAAGTTGCAGTAAGTTAAGACTGCACCACTGCACTCCAGCTTAGGCGACAGAGCGAAACTCTCTTAAAAAAATAAAAGAAAGAAAGAAAAGAAAATTCTTTCTACCTCCCATAAGTGAATGTTTAACTAACATTTAAAGATATTGGCTTATCAAGGGGGTGTGTGCCTGCTGAGGGGAACTGTAAATTATTAAGCTTGACCTGGTGTCCAAATTACTAGACAATAGAGGAAAGGAGTCCAAATCATGCAGAACTCATGAGCCATGCCCAGGGTTTTATATTTTATGTCAACAATAATGATATCGCTAGAGTTTTAAGTAGGGGATATAATCAGAGTTGAGATATAATCAGAATTGAGACAAAGTGAATCAACTTCCGCTTGGTTGTATAAAACAGCATAAAACAGAACTTGGGTTTCCTGGCAGTCAGGCCACTATCCCATCACAGATTTTTAAAATAAATATGATTTGAAACAGTGTGATCTTTCTTTTTGTTCTTTTTTTTTTTTTTTGAGATGGAGTTTTGCTCTGTTGCCCAGTCTGGAGTGCAGTGGCTCAATCTCAGCTCACTGCAATTTCCGCCTCCTGGGGTTCAAGCAATTCTCCTGCCTCAGCCTACCAAATAGCTGGGACTACAGGTGTGCACCACCATGCCCGGCTAATTTTTTGTATTTTTAGTAGATACAGGATTTCACCATGTTAGCCAGCATGGTCTCATCGTCTGACCCCATGATCCACCCACCTCAGCCTCCTAAAGTGCTGGGATTACAGGCATGAGTCACCATACTTGGCTGAAACAATACGATCTTTCACATTAATCATACTTAGCAGGAACTTTTTCAAATAGGGTAGGCTCATGCTTTATGCAAAAAAACATGAAGGAGGGTCTTGGTTTTGGTCTGTAATTTTCATTTTGTGTTTTTGAGACCGAGTCTTGCTCTGGCGCCTAGGCTGCAGTACCATGGTGTGTTCTTGGCTCACTGCAACCTACCCTTCCTGGGTTCAAGCAATTTTCCTGCCCCAGCCTCCCAAGTAGCTGAGATTATACGTGCCCACCACAATGCCCACCTAATTTTTGTACTTTTAGTAGAGAGACAGGTTTTCACTGTGTTAGCCAAGCTGGCTCCAAACTCCTGACCTCAGATGATCAGCTGCCTTGGCCTCCCAAAATGCTGGGATTGCAGGCGTGAGCCACCATGCCTGGTTCACAAACTCCATTTTGCCTTTGGCAGAGGAGATGTTTTCTTTCTTCATGCCCTCTGGATATGACTGGGGTCTCCCAGCTTTTCCTGGCTACTACTTTCTAGGACCTTATAAATGTTGGGGTTTGCTCTTAAAAAGGAGAGCAAGAAGAAAGGTTGGTTTTAGAGACCAAGAGGGTTGGCAGTGGGTGTGTACATTTTGTCATGGAGTCCCACAGAGCTCATCTTTTGAGCCTCTGAGAAGTTTCACTTCTTGTACAGAAAAAGCACAATTGAATTCGAGTTTGCCTTTAGAAATTGCACTGAAGAAAATACTGTACAGTAAAGGAAAGCTTACTTTCTGCATGGTTGTCTTTTCAAAGACAGAATATTTGAAGCATGTTTCTTAGAGATTGTGTAGATGAGGGTAGGCTGGCTGAGGCATCGCTGAAGCTAGGGGTGGTGTGTAAGGAGCATGTGGAGCCACAAGAGCCACCTCCTGTAGTCGGCTAAGGGCCTCCCTCCCTGTGTCCGGCAATTTTTTTTTTTTTTTTTTGAGATGGAGTCTGGCTCTTGTTGCCCAGGCTGGAGTGCAGTGGCGCTATTTCAGCTCACTCCTCCCTGGTTTAAGTGATTCTCCTGCCTCAGTCTCCTGAGTAGCTGGGATTACAGGCACCTGCCACCACACCCAGCTAATTTTTGTACTTTTAGTAGAGACAGGTTTTCATTTGGCCAAGCTAGTCTCGAACTCCTGACCTCAGGTGATCCACCTGCCTGGGCCTCCCAAAGTGCTAGGACTACGGGCATGATCCTGTACCCAGCTTTTGGTTGACGGGTGATTTCTATTAGATGAATCTGTGCTTCAGTCATGGAGTTAATAGAGGAACCTGTTTTCCTGCTGCCGATTCCTGAGTAGAATTGCTAAAGAGTCCACTTCTGATCGCTTCTCAGCCTCTTGGCTATGATCAAGTGTAGTATCTGTTCTTATCAGTTTAATATCTGATACGTCCTCTATCCGAGGACAATATATTAAATGGATTTTTGGAGCAGGGAAAAAGAAGAAAAATTGAAAAAAAAAAAAAAAGGAAAAATAAAAAAATTAAAAAAAGGAGTCCACTTCTGGACTCAGGCGATGTCAAAGACAAGTCTATGTAGAGAGGCTGAGGCAGTAGGGGAAGACCTGCAGCTAGTTACATAAGCTCTGCCGTATTCCCCCCATGATGACTTCCAGTGACACATGTGCTGACAGAATTCTAAACCTCTGGAATTCCCCTCCTGGTGATGCTGGTGTCTTCTCTCATCCTTGATTGTATGGGGTAACCTGATGCAGAATGCTACAGGTCTGGAGAGCTAGAACGCTGTGAAAACTCTTGTTAGGAAGGCTGGGCTTGGCGTGACTTGCTCCAGTAGGAATCCTGGGGAGAGACTTTCAGCTTTAATTAAACGGTACATCCAGAGCGAAGGGTGACTCTCAACTCAGGTGGTTCTACAGGTCAGATGTGAATTTACTAGATCTCCCATTTATTTATTTATTTTGATTTTATTTTATATTTTAGAGGTGGGGGGGTCTCATTCTGTCACCCTGGCTGGAGTGCAGTGGCGTGATCATAGCTAACTGCAGCCTCAAACTCTTGGGTTCAAACAATCCTCCCACGTCAGCCTCTCAAAATGCTGGGATTACAGACATGAGCCATTGTACTTGGCCAAATCTGTCAATTTAGAAACTCCTCTGTAAAGCATTTGGGCCTGAGCTATATGATTTTTTTTTTTTTTGAGATGGGGTCTCACTCTGTTGCTCAGGCTGGAGTGCAGTGTCACAATCTTGGCTCACTGCAACCTCTGCCTCCTGGGCTCAAGTGATCCTCCCACCTCAGCTTCATGAATAGCTGAGACTACAGGGGTACACCACCATGCCCAGCTAATTTTTTTTGGGAGGGGATGAAGTTTTTTTATAGAAACAGGGTTTTGCTATGTTGCTCAGGCTGGTCTTGAACTCCTGAGCTCAAGCAATCCACCCGCCTTGGCCTCCCACAGTGCTGGGATTACAGGTGTGAGGCAACGCACCCAGCCCTGAGCTGTATGGTACATCAAACTGCCTATATGCCAGGCCCCACGCTCTGATTGATATTCCTTTAATTTGTCAGACTCCATGTGCAATAAATGACTGAGTGTTGAAATTGTTCTTCTTTTTTGTTTGCCCAATCAGTAGATGGCCACTTTTTGTAACTTTGTAATTACTTAATTTTTTTTTTTTAGATGAAATTTTCGCTGTTGTTACCCAGACTGGTGTGCAATGGCACGATCTCGGCTCACCGCAACCTCCGCCTGCTGGGTGCAAGCAATTCTCCTGCCTCAGCCTCCCGAGTAGCTGGGATTACAGGCATGCGCCACCATGCCCAACTAATTTTTGTATTTTTAGTAGAGACGGGGTTTCACCTTGTTGACCAGGATGGTCTCGATCTCTTGACCTCGTGATCCACCCGCCTCAGACTCCCAAAGTGCCGGGATCATAGATGTGAGCCACCGGGCCCGGCCTTAATTTTATTTTTTTAAGGGTTATTTTGGTGTTTTTCAATGTGTAGTGTTTCCCTGAGCTTCGGCAAATGCCATTGCAATATAGTGTTGGTGCACAGAAACCAAATTAAATTTCAAATGTTACATTAACACAGACTACAATAAGACCTTTGGTATATTTGATACCAAAGACATAAATGAAAAGTCATTTTTCCAAATCTTAAGCTTTCATTCAGCTGTCTAACCCTCACACGTGCTAATTAACTACAAATGCCGTTTCTGTACTGTACACATATTCTGTGGCTTTCCTCTTTCTGATGTGACTTCCCTTCCTTACCCCACACCTTCTGGAGCTGTTCCCTGTTGTGCCCTTGAATGCCCTGAAGCCAGCTTCAGCCCGCAAAGTATTCATCTGACCAGTCAATGTCCTGACTTCCCGTCACCCTTCCCTGTGTATTTGGAGGATTAGGCTTGATTGAGGCTAAGGTCCTGAGCTCTCTGAAGGTGTCTTGATGCTGGCACATCAAGAACCAGATGCCACCCGGATCATAAGGAAGACAGACCCAGAACTTCCATACGAATTGCATATGGTCTTCTGACATGCACACTACTAATGGATCCTGTTGTTACCCTAAAGCTCCAGAACCACACCCGGCCAGACACAGGCATTTCCTGCCCTCTGAAGAGCCACTGGACCCAGCACAAAAAGGGTCTAGAGCTCTCTGAGCCTATGGAACGGCAACCAAAACCATCCTCAGGTTTTGAGTTAAGCCTCATGAGTCTCCCTTTTCCTTGACAGTGTAGAACTCTGCAGCACAGCACTAAGTGAATGAGAGCAGAAGCCTCAGGACAGAACTGAACCCACCGGCTTGAGCTGACAGCGCTGCTGGGGGTTCAATCCACCTGATCCATGGAATATTCTCTTCGATCACTGAGTTAGGAGGCACGGGTGAGGGATTCAGAGCGCTGCTCATCATGAGGCATCACCCTATCCAGATCAATATCCTATTAGTAGGGACAGCATGTTACAAAATATATACAGACTGTCACCTGCCCCACCTGGAAGCAGTGGTTTCATTGCCCCAGATTCAGAACTGTGATTTAAACTAGGCCTCTCCTGAGGAATCAGAACCAAATTAGAGTGCTTTGTGTGTGCAAGGATTTAATGCAGACATTGTGGGTAAGTCAAGGGAGATGCCCCTTGGGCCATTGGGCAAATTCCTCTGACTCCTCCCTGATGGAACTAATTCTTCTTCTTCTGTTCCCGGATCCTAGAGCCAAGATCCTTAAGGTCTGAGTACAAATTCCGCTTCAGGATGGCGCTGCTGCACAGCAGGGCACCTTGCAGAGCCCCAAGCAGCCCACAGATGAAGATATCCTGGCCTAGGAGGCAAGAGCAGAGGCCCTGAGTGTGCACCCGGGCAGGCCCAGGCCAGGGCAGGGCCCTGGTGCTCCTCTCTCCGCATGAGGGGCACCCAGAGCTGGCTCCGATCAGGACCAGGGCCACAGCCTGCCCGGGCAGCCCTGCTCAGGGGATGGGAGGCTGCAGGGGACAGCAGGGCCTGAGGACAGGAACAGAGGACATTGGGCAACAGAGGCTCAGGGGCTCAGGTCCTGACAACATGGGGCAGTGAGTACCTGTCAGGTAGAGGTTGGGGATGGGGCTCTGGGCCCTCAAGGAGGCCATCACACGAGGGTGCAGGCGGCCCAGGTCATGGTCAGCCCCGTAGCAGGCACCTCGGGGAGCAGCCAGATAGAACCGGTTGGTGAGTGGAGATCCTGCAGTCACATTGTCCACCTGAGGGTACAGAGGGCAGCCAAAGAGTGGGCGGGAACGTGAGATCCTGGCTCCCCTCCCTCTTCTGCTTTCTCCCATATGCTGACTGCAGAAGTGGGTGCCCTGTCCTTCCCTGGGGCTCAGATGTCTTGGGGCTCAGATGTCCTGATTCCCTTGTCTCAAGGAAAGGGCAGAAATGGCACCATGAGGTCCGTCATCACCCCAAATACTTTACCCCGTACCTTCCCCTCCAGCTGTGGGAACAGTTTCATGACTGTTGACATAGAGGCTTCCACAAATGAGCTTTTGAAGGTCTCATAGTCACTGCCCCGCTTTCCCTTCAGCTCTGCTTGCCACTCCTCAAACCACTCATAGGCGCTGGGTATGAGCACGATCATGGTGGAGCGGTCTGGGGATCAGGGCCAGTATTACTGCTGCCCAGCCCCTCCTTCCACCCCCTCACCCCAACTCCAGGCTCCACCAGGACCTGCAGCCCTACCTGGGAATCGGTTCTCCCAGGTCGGGTCCTTGGCTGATGGGGAAGAGATGAAGAGAAAAGGGATGTGTTGTGCAGCCTCTTCCCTGGGCATGGAGATGTAGCGCTCCGTTCTGCGTGTGAGAGCAGTGTGGCTGTGATCCCCAGACTTTTGTCCTCAAAACCCCAGCATCACCGCAAGGACTGCTTATCCCTAGGGACTCCCCAAATGGGTGAAGCTGAGCCACAGCTTTGGGATGGCAAACTTCCAGGCACCACCAATTGGAAATTGCCCACTTCCTCCCATTCCATGTCTGTTGCTCATTCTCTGAGTCAAGCAGGGAGGCATAGCCCACACACACACACGCACACATGCATACGCGCGCGCCTTACGCTTGGTCTATGTCCGTGTCATAGTAAACATAGTAGTTGGTGGAGGGCAGACCCAAGTCCTCCTTGGTCCCTCGCAGGCAGAGGAAAATAGAGATCATGCTCAAGCTGGGCCGCACCAGCCCCAGCTGCTGCTTCACACCTGCCAAGGGGAGTGGTTGATGCCTGTGTGGACTGAGGCCAGAGATGGCCACTCCCTGTGCCCCACAGAACCTCAGGGTGCCCACTCACTGCATCTTGAGCTATACACTCAACTGCCAGCCTGGGGACCAGGCCACTTTTACAGCTTTTGTTTCAACTTGGTGTTGGCAGGGGACTGCTCTTCTGTCTCCTGCCTGGCAAGGATACCACCCCAGGTTCCTACTCTTCCACCTCCCCCACCTCTGCTCTGAGCCCCTTCAGAGGCAGGTGACACCCAGCCCTGGCAGCCCTCATGAGCTGGCTCAGCACCTGCAGGAAGGTCAGGCTGACTGCCCCCCATCTTCCATTTTGTTTCTTGAAGTGGGGAGCGCATGACTGGGCTCCCACCCATGAAGACCACACACATGAACAGCAGCTCATTACCAGCCTGATTACAGTATTAACTTCTATGCGACTGTCAGGTGAGTGAAAATGCATATTTCCTAGTGTGCTGTCAGAACACAAGGCCTCCAGAGGGCAAGCCACACATGTGAGTAAAGGCAGGTGGCCTGACTGGCGCCTGGCATCTCAGGACTCAGCTGAAGGGAGGAAGGAGGAACTGCACTACGGCAGAGGCCACAGCCACTGTGGGGCACCTGATGTTCCCCAGACCTAAAGAGCTGGGCTTCTCCACCCCTCAGCAGATGACCTGAGACCAGTGTTCTGGAAACTGCACTCACAGATTCTTCTGTGGTCCTCCCATTGCGGGGACAGCTCTGTCACCTGCCTGAGGGATGGCAGGCCTCTTGGTCCTCTGCTTCATTCATTTAACTAAATATTTTTGAGGCCCTCAGATTGTGTTCAGGAAAAAGATTCACAGGACCAGGGAAAATGGTAATCAGACGGTGAGAGGAGGGGAGGAGGGACAGGTGACTATAGCAGGGCTGCCTGGCCAGGACAGTGTCAGTGACACAGTGTCAGTCTCCCATTCTGGGACAGGGGAAGAGGGAGGTCAGCGTCATAGAGAGAAAGGTAGAAAGTAACAAAAGCAGAGTCTTGGCTGGGCCTGGTGTCTCACGCCTATAAATCCCAGCAATTTGGGAGGCCGAGGTGGGCAGATCACCTGAGGTCAGGAGTTTGAGATCAGCCTGGCCAACATGGTGAAACCTCGTCTGTACTAAAAATACAAAAATTAGCTGGGTGTGATGGCGTGCACCTGTAATTCCAGCTATTCAGGAGGCTGAGGCAGGAGAATCTCTTGAACCCGGGGACTGGAAGTTGCAGTGAGCCAAGACTGTGCCATTTCACTCCAGGCTGGGCAAAAGAGCAAGACTTCACCTCAAAATAAAATATTCAAAAAACAAAAGCAGTCTGTCTGCGCATCACGCCCGGCCCCCTGCCCTTCCCCTGGGCAGTCTCTGCCTCACTTTCTCAGCTCCTGGGTCTGAGGGAAGGGAGGCCCAAGCAGGCTGCAGGCCCAGCCACATGGGGCAAAGGAAGGAGAGGGTAGTGTTGGTGGAACCACCCTATGCCCTGGAGACAATCACAATTCCCATACCACCCAGTCTCATGAGGAAAGCCAGGACCTCGCTTTACCCACCCAGCCCACTCTGCTGTCCCTCAAGGAGCAGCTCCCAGGCCCACCCTCTGGGGTCAGGGCTCCTTCCCCTGCTTTCTGGCTCCTGCACTAGCCAAGGTTTCCACCTCACCACATCCAGAGCTGCTCCGTGCTCTCCACCTCCCACCCCAGCCTAAGCCCTTCATCTGGGCCCCTCGGTCTCACCCCTGCTGGGTTACTGCAACCTCTGCCTCCCTCTTCCCAGTAGCCTCCCTTCCTCAGATCACACCAGATGTATCCAGGTACATGAAGGTGGCAGAACCTCTCAGTAACATTTGCTCAGCAGCTCTGCTCCCCGTGGGCTGCCCTGCTCTCCTGCTTCTCTTCCTGAGGCCTCTTCTCTGGAAGCCCCCTCAGACCAGAGGGATGGGGGAAGCTTGAGCTTTCCAATCAGACCAGCTACTCTGCTCAGCCCTGCCCCTTTCAGCTGACTGGCCTCAGGACTGTAATTAATTTGTATGGGCCTCAGTTTCCCCAACTATAATTGCTAGGGTTAGGATGATGTCCTCACCTTGCTGCTTAAGGACAATCAGAGGGCCGGCCAAGAAGAGGGGAAGCATCACCTGCATGGAGCAAGTTGGCTCCAGAAGGGGACACGTTGGGGAGGCTACAAGAGGGACAGTGCAGACCTGTCTTTTACCTGGCAGACAGCGGGCGTTCTCTGGCAGTAGGTGCTCATAGGTGTTGAACAGTCCTGCGTTGGAGACCACAATGGGGCAATAGATGTTCACCAGCTCATGCCCCTTCTTCACACTGACACCTGCAGGCACAAGAACTTGGCTGAGGGTCTGGGTCCGGGGCGAAGAGGAAGGCCCACAGCCCCCATGGATCTCTCTCTGCCTATGCCCATTTTCTCAAACCTTGGAGTCCAGCTACCTAGGCCCAGACAGGGCAGGCCCCTGGGAAACTGCAGAATGATATGTTCAAGTGCTTTCAGACTATCCTACAGCTGCTTTGGGCTTCCTTTCCCTAGCTCTGCACCCGTGTGTGTGTGTGTGTGTGTGTGTGTGTGTGTGTGCGCGCGCGCGCACATATACACTCTGTGTTTGAGCCAAATACCAGACAAAACTCAAGGGCTAATGAGCCCTTCCACTGGAAATCCAGGCCCTTTTCTCTGCTGCCAGTTGTTTCCAAGTATTCTTTAAAAGCCTCCAAATGGGGCTGGGCACAGTGGCTCATGCCTGTACTCCCAGCTGTTTGGGAGTCTGAGGTCAGAAGATTGCTTGAGTGCAGGAATTCAAGACCAGCCTTGGCAACATAGTGAGGCCCTGGCTCTACAATTATATATATATATATATATTTATTTTTTAAATTAAGCTGTATGAGGTTGTGTACACCTATAGTCCTACCTCCTCAGTCAGAGGGATGGCTTCAGCCCAGGAGTTAAAGGCTACTATAAGCCATGATGACACTACTGCACACTAGCCTGGGCAACAGAGCAAGACTGTGTTTTCAAATAAATAAATAAAATAAAAATAAAACCCTGCAATGATGCCTCATCCTGGATGAGAACCTCCAAAATCTTGTAGCAGCCTGTACAATGTGGTCCCTTCTGTGTGTCCAGTTCCATCCATCTCTGGTCACTCTCACTAAATTCCCACTAAACTATTAGGTAGAACCAATATCAGACAGCTGAGAGTCAACCATTTCTTACCTACAAAATGAGAGTTTCTTATTATTCAACATAATACTTCTGGATGCCTGAAAATACTCAGCCTTCATATCTCCATGCCTTTGTGTGCTGCTTCTCCTTTCTGGAATATTCTCCAACCTCATCTGCTTGCTAGCTTCATCTCACCCTTTATTACTCAGCTCTAGTACCTGTGCCTCCCGGAAGTTTCCTATGTTCCACTGTGCTGTCTGTTACCTCCATTCTTAGCACATGCCTCCAGATGGCATGTAAATAAATGCTGGGTTTTTTTGAGACAAAGCCTCACTCCGTTGCCCAGGCTGGAGTGCAATGGTGTGATCTCAGCTCTCTGCAACCTCTGCCTCCTGGTTTCAAGCGATTCTTCTGCCTCATTCTCTAAAGAAGCTGAGATTACAGGTACCCACCACCATGCCTGGCTGATTTTTGTACTTTTAGTAAAGACAGGGTTTCATCATGTTGGCCAGGCTGGTCTCAAACTCCTGACCTCAGGTGATCTGCCTGCCTTGGCCTCCCAAAGTGCTGGGATTATAGGCGTGAGCCACTGCACTCAGCCTCTTTTATCTTAATCTTTTATTACCTAGCACTTGAAAAACAAACAGATATATCTGGATTGTATTTAACTCTCCTAATAAACCTAGCTTGCTTCCTGGACCCCTTTCAGCTTGAAGAGAACTTGTTCAGGGGCATCAGAGAAAACCTTTCCCAACTGACAGCCACCTCTCTCTTGCCACCCGTTAACTTATCAGTCTTTTCTACAAATGGATTCCCTGAGATCACTGATGGCCTTTTCTCCTTGATTTTTACTTTGTACTCAGCCTCCCACTTACCACCTCCTTGAAAGGTTTCTCTGATAAATGCATGTCTACACCAGCCCAGTTTTTCCCAGGCCTCTTTTTGTCTGCCTCCTTGGCTTCTTTAAGCACCCACTAGTGATGGAGGGCCTATTCTGTTTAACAGAGTCCTTGCACAGACCCTATCTTCCAAGAGTTCATTCATACTGGGATTCTGAGTCCCTATGCAGGTTACAGCATCAACCTGAGCCAGGGTAATAAGGTTCTGGGCCCCACAGATAGAGGGGAGGGAACCTTGCTGGCCTCCATACTGCCCAGTGGAATCCAAGGTTACTCATTCATTCAATCCACCACTGAACAAGCATTTATTGAGCCTCTAATATGTGCTAAGAATTATAGATATAAAATTTAAAAAGACACAGTCCCTACACTCAAGAAAACAATCATAGATTACTGGGTAAATAATTTTACCTATTAAATAAATGACTAAAAAGCTGGTACAATGGCTCACACCTATAATCTCAGCACTTTGGGAGGCCAAGGTGAGTGGATCACCTGAGGTCAGGAGTTCGAGACCAGCCTGACCAACATGATGAAACCCCATCTCTACCGGACACCAAAAATTAGCCAGGTGTGGTAGCGCATGCCTGTAATTCCAGCTACTCAGGAGGCTGAGGCAGGAGAACTGCTTGAACCCAAGAGGTGGAGGTTGCAATGAGCAGAGATTGTGCCATTGCACTCCAACCTGGGCAACAAGAATGAAACTCCATCTCAAGCCAGGAGTAGTGGCTCACACCTGTAATCCCAGCACTTTGGAAGGCCAAGGCGGTGGATCACTTGAAGTCAGGAGTTCAGACCAGCCTGGCCAACATGGTGAAACCCCATCTCTACTAAAAATACAAAAATGAGCCAAGTGTGGTAGTAATTACAAGGCACCTGTAATCCCAGTTATTCAGGAGGCTAAGGCAGGAGAATTAATTGAACCCAGGGAGAAGAGGTTGCAGTGAGCCAAGATCGCAGCATTGCACTCCAGCCTGGGTGACGAGCGAAACTCTGTTTCAAAAAAAAAAAAAAAAGAAAGAAAAGGAGTGTAACTCTGTCTCAAAAATAAAATAAATAAATACTGTTTTTGGGGACCATGCAATTCCTTATCTCTTTCTTTAACTTTTTTTTTTAGAGAGATGAGGTTTGACCATGTTGTCCAGGCTGGTCTCAAATTCCTGAGCTCAAGTGATCCTCCAATCTCAGCTTCCCAAAGTGCTGGGATTACAGGCATGAGCCACCATGCCTGGCCAATCTTTTATCTTTCCTGCTTCCTTTTTAGTTTTGAAGTAATCACTATCCCTGGACCCTGCTTGGAACAGATTCTCACCTTTAGCCCTCATGAAGAAGTCAGTTCTCCTACTCCTGGTCTCAAAAAGACCCCAGGTCTCGCCCACACCAACCCAGGGACCCAGAAGGGCAGGGCAGGGTAGGGTAGGGTAGGGCAGGGCTCTCACCACAGGCTTTCCCAGCTGAGTCCAGTAATATGCCCTGCACAGTGGCCTTTGTAAGGACAGCGCCCCCAGCCCGCTGAATCACAGGGATGGTGTGGAAGGCAATTTCACTGGAACCCCCTCGGGGATAAAAGCCTCCTTTTAAGTAGTGGTCAACCACCAGGGCGTGCATGGAAAAGGCGGTGTGGCTGGGGGTGACACCTGCAGAAGGAAGGAAGGGTGGTGAGCAGGCAAGAGCAGGCACCAGCACCATTCAGAAAGGAACATGGAGTTCTGTGAGATAACACACAGCCCAATCTATCCAAGGATCCACATGTTCCCCAGGGTCCAAGGCAGCCAGAAGAGCCATTTCCATCCAGACATGGGTTCCTTAGAGATCTTGGGGCCAGTAGGAATATCCTCCCTGCAAAGTACCATGCATACTGCCAAGAGCAGGGAGGACAGTGTTGGTTGAACTGAAAAATCAACCAGGGCATGGATCAGGAGAATTTTTACCAAGGAGTCCAGCAGGTGGCCAGACTTCTTCACAAGCTTCAGAGGGTCTGGGGTTTATAGTGCTCCGTATCAGTCAGCCAGGCAGGGCCGAGAAGAAAGATTGAGGCAAGAGGGCAGCCCTTCCTCCTCCAGAAGCTACCCAGACCCCATGGCCAGTACCCACCATAAGTGGGGAATATGTAGCTGAGCACTGCCTGGAGCTCAGAGGAGGCCCCCAGCTGTTGCAGGACCTCAGCCAGGCTCTGGGTGGATGCATGAAGGAATGGAGAGAAACGAGTCAGCAGCCCACACCTGTCGAGGAGCTGAACCACGGGCAATGGGAGGAATTTCAACAGGATGGCATGAGGGACTCCCCTGGATACCACCTAGAGAGAACGAGGAATGAGTACAGGCCTCACCTTTGGGACTGCTGTGACAGAACTGCTATCCCCATGGCCTGGACCAGCCTGAGGATCCAGCAATACTTACCCCTGACTGAACTTCGTTGAATTTGGATTTTTAAAAAAATCTATGCTCTGTGAATTTTTCCCATCCTACGCTCAGTTGAGTCCTTTTTTGCTTTTTATTTTCCAGCTCAAATTCCTTTTCGAAAATCCCAGTCTGGTCTCAGATGAAGTAAAAAGGAGCAGTGATGTGATATCATGGAAGCCAGCTTAGTCAGGGAGGCGAGCAGGGCATCCCCAGAGACCAGGGTAACAGCAGCAGCCGCGGAGCCAAGGCTCCAAAGAGAGAGAAATAGAGATCTGGGTGGACTTGGGTAGAGGCTGAGCTGAGAACAGATATGACCCTTCCCCACTTCCTGCCTCCTCCATTGCACTCTCCACCCCCAGTGACTCCACTAGTAATGAAGAAACTCAGCCTTGTCGGGAATAAACTCTGGGTCCTCAGCATGTCCATGTTACCTTAACCAGCTTTATATACTTGTCAATGATAGCTTCCTCCTGTGGAAACTTCTCCTTGAGGCCCTGAATGTAGGCTTTCGCTCCACTATACATAGGGTACTCCTTTGGGCCACTGGGCCCTTCCAGTACTATGATGTCAAAAGGAGAGGACAGGGGAGCCCAGTCCAGCTGCCCTTCAGTGATCTGGTCCAAGATAAAACGGCCAATGCTGCCCTCCTCCATGCGCCCAATGTAATGGATTCCTGTTGGGAGATGGAAAAACAAGGTGGTAAACAGATACGGGGACTGAGCCCTGAAAAGGTGGCTGAGGAAGTAAGGTGGAAGAGGTTATCTGGCCTGGCCAAGCCCATGCCCAGAACGAGCTGCCCACCCTGTTTACAGGGAGGTGTCACAGCAGAAACCACCAGATCCCTGCCCAGTTCAGCTCCTAGTAGCTGTACTTTCAGATAAGAAAAGTGACAGAGGTCAGGCACGGTGGCTCAAGTCTGTAATCCCAGCTTTGCTCCCAATATACAGCCATGCTCCCAACCCTTTTCCACACAAGCCTTACCTGTGTCAAATTCAAGGCCATTCTTTCCAAAGGTATGACAGCAGCCTCCTGCCTTGGTATGTTGTTCCAGCACCAGGACTCGCTTGCCAGCTTTAGCCAGAATTGCAGCTGCAGCCAAGCCCCCAAAGCCACTGCCAATTACCACCACGTCCAGCTTCTCTGGCACTTGGCTGGTTGAAAAAGCTACAGCAGAAGGGCCAAAGGGTGGGTTTCTCAGGCAGGGGCAGGGAAATAGCAAAGATAGGGAAATCAAAGAAGACTTCTCTAGCTTGTACAGTGCAAGAAACCTCTAGAGAAGTTGGCATGGAACTCTTGACTAACACGTTTCAACATTTTACCTGGGAATACTCAGAACCAGCCAGGCAGATTTTGGGATTTTTTTATTTGTTTGTTTTGTTTTTTGAGACAGGGTCTTGCTCCGGCCCAGGCTGAAGTGCAGTGGTGTGATCACAGCTCACTGCAGCCTTCAACTCCTGGCCTCAGGCAATACTCCTGCCTCTAGCTTCTGAATAGCTGGAACTACAGGTACATTCCACAATGCCTAATTTATTTTATTTTTTGTAGAGACGAAGTCTTGCTGTGTTGCCCAGGCTGGTCTTGAACTACTGGCCTCAAGTGATCTGCCCACCTTGGGCTCCCAAAGTGCTGGAATTACAGGTGTGAGCTACCACGCCTAGCCCACAAGACGGGTTTCTTTGGAAGATGCAGGGTCTGCAAGTAACAGTGGAACAGCTGGGTCTTATGGTGGCTCTTCCAGGTCCTGATGGAAAGTCTTGGGCAGGATAGAATTGTTCAGAGGCTGCAGCTCTGAGAAATCACAGCACCAGCCCCTCCCATAGTGAAGGTCTGGGGGCAGTGCTGAGGGAGGCAGCACCTTCGCGAAGACTAAACTGCACAGCAAGGCCAGGGGCTTGTGCCTATAATCCCAGCACTTTGTGAGGCCAAAGTGGCAGGGATCACGAGGTCAGGAGTTTGAGACCAGCCTGGCCAGCATCGTGAAATCCTGTCTCTACTAAAAATACAAAAAAATTAGCGGGGCATGGTTGTGTGTGCATGTAGTCCCAGCTACTTGGGAGGCTAAGGCAGGAGAATTGCTTAAACCCAGCAGGCAGACGTTGCAGTGAACAGAGATTGCACTATTGCATTCCAGCCTGGGAAACAGAGCAAGACTCCGTCTAAAAAAAAAAAAAGACAAAAAACCACACAACAAAACTGAATAGCCTGTGCTATATGGGTACTTCCAACACAAAATCTATTCTTTAACAATCACTGGCAAATAACTGAGATCTCTAGAATGTTTCAAGACACAAGAGAATTTGACAAACTGCTTTTTTTTTTAAAGTTTTTAGAGAGATCAATACATTTCAGGCCGAGCATGGTGACTCACGCCTGTAATCCCAGCACTTTAGGAGGCAGAGGCAGGCTGATTGCCCGAGGTCAGGAGTTGGAGACCAACATGGCAATACCCCGTCTCTACTAAAAATACAAAAAGTTAACAAATAAAGAATACAAACACAAAAAATTAGCCAGGCATGGTGGCAGTTACCTGTAATCCCAGTTACTAGTGAGGCTGAGGCAGGAGAATTGACCTGGAGAGGAGGAGGTTGCAGTTAGATTGCACCACTGCACTCCGGGAGACAAGAGTGGAACTCTGTCTCAAAAAAAAGTACATTTCATGTGTAAGTGTATGAGATAACTATATGAAACAAGTTTCACAATGCAATATGTACAAAACTATGTATAACGCACTCTGATATTTTCTTTTTTTTGTTATGGTAAGTTGCATAATTATTTCATTATTGTTTTCTTTTCTTTTGAGATGGAATCTCGCTCTGTTGCTCAGGCTAGAGTGCAGTGGTGCGATCTTGGCTCACTGTAACCTCCGCCTCCCGGGTTCAAGCGATTCTCCTGCCTCAGTCTCCTGAGTAGCTGGGATTACAGGCGCGTGTCAGCACACCGGCTAATTTTTCCATTTTTAGTAGAGATGGGGTTTCTCCATATTGGCCAGGCTGGTCTCGAACTCCTGATCTCATGATCCACCTGCCTCAGCCTCCTAAAGTGCTGGGATTACAGCCAATAGCCACGGCACCCGGCCAATATTTTCTATTCTACCGCATTCTAAAATGCTAGCTGTGGCTGGGTGCAATGGCTCACGCCTGTAATCCAACACTTTGGGAGGCCTAGGTGGGTGGATCACTTGAGGCCAGGAGTTTGAGGCCAGCATAGTCAACATGGTGAAACCCCATCTCTACTAAAGATACAAAAATTAGACACGCAAGCCACTCGGGAGGCTGAGGCACAATAATCACTTGAACCCAGGAGGCAGAAGTTGCAGTGAGTGGAGATCATGCCACTGCACTCCAGCATGGGCAACAGAGCGAGACTCTGTTTCAGTAAATAAATAAATAAATAATGCTAGTTGCAACTCACTAAATTGATTTCATAACGCACTAATAGATCACAACCTGGTTTGAAAAGCAGTTAAGCTAGTCACCTCATTTTTAGACCAGCCCAGGTAGGTAGGTGCTAATGGTTATGCAGTGAATTAGTGACGGAGTTCAAGCTAAAACTCAGTTCTCAGAAGTCCAGATGATTAGTCCTTCCACTTAGAACAGTACTGTCTCCAACTGTGGAGCAAGACACGCAGAATTCTAAAATGTACAAGTGAAGGGGTCTCTGTAGATCAAACAGGCGATCCATTGTTTTTTTAAAGCAGCAGGACTCTTTAAGCCCTGGAAGCAATCACAAAATATGTTTTAAAGACTAGAGTGGAGAGCAGGCTCTGAGCCTGAGGCACTCTGTTGAACCTCTGCCAAAGTTTCAGAACTAGCGTTCAATCCTATGAGTTGGGACCACATAAAGCCTGTTAAATCACCTGACAGGCAAAACGCAATTTCCTATGCAGCTTTGGACACATTTCTGTGCTGCTCCCCCACACCCCTGAGCTCGCATGGGAGGGTAGGCAAAAAGTTAAGGTCCTGGAACCAAGTGGAGGAAAGGTCTCTTATCTGTTCCGTGAGCCTCGGAAATTACAAGTGGCGGGGGTGGGGGGGGGGTGGTGCCAAGACTTTGCACACCGAAGACAGTGCCTGCGCCCTTGGGACTACTATTACTATTCCGGGGCCTGCCTGCTAGGGCAAAGGCTACTGACAGTGTCGGACACTAAAGCGGGGCTTCTCCACTGCAAGGAAGTCCTCCTAGTACTTTACATATGGGGAAACTGAGGCCCAGGTCTGGCAGCGGCTGCCTTGTCAAAATGAGAACGCAAATCTATGAGAATACCTGAAGCACACCCCCGGACCCCAGGGTACCTCGCGCTACCTTGTCTGAGAACCTTCGTCCTGGCCTCCTTGTCAGTCACCAGGGGTGCTGGTGGCCGTTTGACATCCTCGAAGAAGGGATTCGGGGAGCTGCCAGGGAACAGTCCCAAGTAAACTTTGCAGAGTCCGGCCAGCAGCAGCACGGCCAGGAGCAGCACCAGCAGAAGCCACATACCGCAGGCATCGAGTCGCGGAAATGGGCCAGCTGCGTCTGCGCTCAGCCTTTGTCTAGACTGTGGCTCCGCCCGGGCTAGTTCGCTTTCCAGTAAGGAGGCGGAGGCAGCTTTGGGCACTGATTAGCCAGCCAGCGAGGAGCCAACTCTCCGGCGCCGATTGACCCTTTCGGCTCTCCGTACTTATTTTGCAGCAGGGTGTCGCCATTGCCTACTGAGAAATGTAGTTCTCGGGGCCAGGGGAGCTCGCACGGGAGAGGCTGTGCGCATGAGCGGATGAGGCCCAGCAGAGGCTGCGGGATCCCAGTCTGGAAAGCTCAGTTAACGGTAGGAACGCGCCGGGTTGGCGGCAGACCCGAGGAGGGAGGGAGAATATCGGGTGGAAATGATCCCTATGGGGCGAGACAAGTCCGAAAGTTGTAGGACTGAGAGAATCACGACTGGGAGACAGGAGACCAGGGTTCTCGTTCTGGCTCTGCCCTGGACTCGCTGTCCTGAGATGTTAAATTGCTTTCCTTCCCAAGCAATGCGAAAGTTTCTGTCCGAAGTCCGCACAGCCCGTCTGACTGGCTGTCTTCATGAAGTGAGATCTCTGTTATCTGCGCATCACGGCCAGTGAGCGTCTGGCTCTGTGCCCCTCAAAGTGGCCCATAGTTTTGTCCTGGGCGCCCGCCTGGGACGGGGTCGTCTGTGGCGGGTCTCCAATCACACCTCATCTGTGGGGAACCTGGGGGACAGGGAGCCACCCAGGGACAAGTCTGGTGAAGTGATCAGCGAAGGGCCGATCTAATTTAAACTCCTTTGCAGAGAGTCTAAGCTCCAGCGAGCAGTTGAAGAATCCTACGCCTTCCTTACCTAAAGTAAGTGCATAATGAATACTTAATTTGAGAAGGATCCATTTTATAGGAAGGCCATTTTCTTGGGTCCAACTATCAGGAGCTTGCCTTTGAATACTTGCTTGTTTTACAGAGTTGTTGCTCTTTTCTTCTCTGATACAGATAGTAACTGTCTCTACTGAAGGCCCAGCAGTGCTCCAGCCAGGTGTGGAAAGCAGGTCATGCTTCTATGCTACTTGGTTCATTTCCTACACAGCAACAGAAAAGCCATCCTGAGATTGCTATTACCATACCTGCCTGTCACCTTGCCAAGGTTGGCCAATGTGTGTTTTGTCAGAGACTGCCATGGAGGCCATGGTGGAGGAAAAGGAAAGGTGGGGGCAGATGCTGAGGCCCCACAGGCCATAATGAGAGCAGTTTAGTTCCTGAGGTACCAAGACTAAGGGGTCACTGACTACCCTGCCCTCAGGATTACAGTGAGCCACATGTCCAGACCAAGAGCCAGGAGGTATTCTTCCTCTCAGTGTTAACAATTAAAGCATTCTTACAGAGATTCCAGCTTGTTACAAGCAGCCAGTTCTTAAGGAATCAAGATCATTACCACAGTGGAGGGCTGACCTCAGAGAGGCCACCCTCTTTCTTTAGTCACCCAAGCCTGTGAACTATGATTGTCAGTTGTATGTGGGCCATCTGCCCACTTAAGTGCAATTTTTGATGTAACAGACATCCAGGATGTCCAGTTCCCCCATGATGAGGTACGAGCCTTGTCCAGCCCTTTTCCTAAGGCAAGCAATGTCAGATGAAAGACTTAGAGTTGGCTGTGGCTCACGCCCATAATCCCAGCACTTTGGGAGGCCAAGGTCAGAAGATTGAGACCATTCTGGCCAACATGGTGAAACCCAATCTCTACTAAAAATACAATAAAAAAATTAACTTGGCATGGTGGTACGTGCCTGTAATCCCAGCTACTCAGGAGACTGAGGCAAGAGAATTACTTGAACCCAGGAGGCGGAGATTGCAGTGAGCCAAGATCATGCCACTGCACTCCAGCCTGGGCAACAGAGCAAGACTCCATCTCCAAAAAAAACAACAGACTTAGAGTTGCCCAAACTGGTTAGGCAGCTGCCACATGTACAGCATTGGTGATAACTGAGAAAGGTTAGAACATTGTGTTGCATTTTGAATTTCTACCATCATTGGAACCAGGTCTAGTATTATAAGCCCCAGACCCAACTTGTGTCTGAGGCCTAAACAAAGCCTGAGCACTTCAGCTAAGACCACCCACCAAAGTGCCATCTTTGGCCTCACCCCTTTGATAAGCTGGCCCAGATCCCAGTAACTCCATTGTCAGAAACAGACTCCATCCCTTCTAGTGGTGCCGCTGCCTTTTGGACACAGAATCCAGCCTACAGTCCCCTGTGTGATCCCCTTTTTTCCATCCTGTGGCATGGGTAGCAAGAGCATTTGGCTGAGACAACTTGTTCATTCAGAATAAATTCATAGCTGCTTAAATTTTGTCAACAGGCATAACTGAATGATGAAACCAGTTTTCTTTTTCAATTTTTCTTTTGGGCAGAGCTGAGGCTTCAGAGACCTCAGGGGACTACTACTCTCAATACTCACAGAAACCTCCTACACGCTCAGGATGGCACAAAGGGACTATTTTCTTACTCTTGGTCTAAGTGACTGCCAAGAAGGAAGGCAAAGGTAGAGCAGCTGGATCTCTGACTCTCCACATAGCTTCTGATCGCAGTCCTTATTAAAATCCTTTCTGGGACAAAGCTCACACAAACAAATGATTTTGAGTCATGAATGAACAATCTTGCTCTTTCCATAATGAGGAAGAATTAAGAGATGGACAGGTAAGCATGCATTCTTACTTGGGAAAGATGGTGTTGGTTTGAGATACATCATTAAATATAGTAAGAATACATTAAGAGAATGTGAGGCTTTGGAAAATTTTAGAAACCCTCATTATAGTTCTCTTTGTTCTATAAGAAGGAGTTTCGATTCACCTAAGGGTCAGTTGCTTTTCCTGATAGCTTGTTTTCTAAATGAGTTATGAGATTTTTTTTCTTTTTGCTTGGGTAGTGGAGAGAATTTCAATGAGGAATCACCCAAGAAATCTGTATTTCATTAATTTGGATCATTTACCTTGCTAGCCTCTTCCCTGTAAAATGCCTGCTTTGGTCTGATCATTCTCAGGACTCAGTTCAATGTGATAGGTCTTTGTATGAGCCAGGCAGCTAACCCTACATGCCTTACCTTTCACACACTACCTTGCCCACCGGAGGCTATGGGATTCAGTGGCCCGACTGGGACAAAGCCTTTTCTTTGGGTCTCTGGAAGGATTTTCTTCATTGTAGTAAGATGTGAACTGTTCCAAAGAAGGAAGTCTTTGGACACTGGAGGGACCTGAAACGGAGAAGGAAAGGAAGGATGAAGTGAATCTCAGGTACACAGACCCCTGCAGGAAGTTGTTCAGCACAATGAATCGCCAAATATTTTTGAGAGAAAATTTCAACAAAAATTTGAGACAAATATTTTACGCTTAGTGCTGTACCAGTGGATGTGAAACATATAAAAGAAATATAAGAGGCCAGGCATGGTGGCTCATGCCTGTAATCCCAGCACTTTGGGAGGCTGAGGTGGGCAGATCACCTGAGGTTGGGAGTTCAAGACCAGCCTAGCAAACATGATGAAACCTTGTCTTTACTAAAAATACAAAATTAGTTGGGTGTGGTGGCAGGCACCTGTAATCTCAGCTACTCCAGAAGCTAAGGCAGATGAATTGCTTGAACCCAGGAGGTGGAGGTTGCAATGAGCTGAGATTACACCACTGCACTCCAGCCTGGGTGACAGCGTGAGACTTCATCTCAAAAGAAAAAAAAGAAAAAAGAAATATGAGAGAAAGTCCTTATACAGGCCTTTTGCAGAGGAACTTGTTCTGCATATAAGGGCTGTTGGACTTAGAGGTATGAGACAGCATTGTAGCCCCAGCTAATAAGGTAGGTTGTCTTGAGTAGGTGGAACTGATCTTGATCAGAGACAAAGGTGGAGGTGTATTCTGGAGGAAAACTACATGAATCGGGGGATGGAAGTAAGGAGAGGAACTGCAGCAGGTGTGTTCATTGGATTACAGTGGGAAATAATGCTTGGCATCTTGAGGTCCATTACCAGGAAGTTTGGGCCGCTGTGGGGTGTTTGGCCTCCATTCTTGCATCTGGAACGTGAAGAAATGAAAGCTGTTTTTAACGAGCATTAGTTGGAGGTGGGGAAAAAGCAGAAGGATTAGAGTAACAGATGATCTGGGATTCCAGGGCCTTGACATAATACATTCACATGGTTCAAAATCCAAAAAGTGCAGAAGGATATATGTATTGGGAAGAAACTGCCTTCCATCCTTGTCCCCCAGTTTTTCTGCTGGAGACAAAGCTACTGCTTCCTTGGGTATAACTCTGAAAATGGTCTCTGCAGAGACAAGCAAATGTGCTTATTTACTTTAAAAAAAAAAAATGGTAAAATAGTGTATAGACTCTGTCCTTTGCTTTTTCACTTCATACATCATAAAGATTGTCCCATATTGCCTGTAAAGCACTTTCTCATTTGTCTTTATGACTATATAGTATCTCACTGAGTGAATGTGCTTTTATTTATGTAATCAGCCTATTAGTGAACATTTAGGTTTATCTAGCCTTTTGCTATTATAAACAGTGTGACAATGAATCACACTATAAATGTAAACATGTCATATTCCACATGGATGAATATATCTGTTAGATAAATTACTAGAATGCAATATCAGGCCTCACATATGCAAAACATACTTGATTAGGTACTGTCAAGCTGTAGAGGTGGTAAGCTTACTCAGCAGTGTGTTAGCCAATGTACATGTTATCAACCTTTTTTTTTTTTTTTTTGATACAGAGTCTTGCTCTGTTGCCCAGGCTGGAGTACAGTGGAATAGTCTCGGTTTAAACCACTGCCTCCCAGACTCAAGCAGTTCTCCTGCCTCAGCCTCCCAAGTAGCTGGGATTACAGGCATGCACCACCACACATGGCTAATTAGTAGAGGTGGGGTTTCACCGTATTGGCCAGGTGTTCTTGAACTCCTGACCTCAGGTGATCCTCCCACCTCAGCCTCCCAAAGTGCTGGGATTATAG